GGTCTTGGCCACTTATGCTCAAAATTAGTTCAGTAACACTCAATTTGAGAACTTTTACATTATTTTATGTTTTTCCATTAACTATGTGTTTATAAAATTGGTTCATTATGGTTCTATTTAAGTTTTACGGCATTCCCGGTGTAACTAATAAATAAAACTGATGTTCCTAAGAAAATTAAAGCTAAAAGTGCAAAGTGGGAAGTATAGCTTTTGGATATTAGATGGAAATAACAATGTTAGTTAAATTAAATTTAAGTAGCAAATTAATTCACAATGTGCAAGAAAAATTTTGCCATCTCTGTGCATTTCTCATGCAATTTTAATAAAACCGTTCTTGAGGCTGTAACCTGGAAAGATTAATTTTATATTTAAAAATTATTTGATATACATTTTAATGTCTTTTTACTTAGTTTGTATTTTTCATAATTATTTTGTAGCTAAAAGCTTAGAATACATTGATTGTTCTTTTACTTGGAAATGTATATTTCTCAATTATAGCCTTATTATTTAAGATATTTATACTGCTGTTTTGTAATGTTTTTTAAATATTCCTATAACGTATATGTTTGTTTTGTTTGTATATATTAGATATTAATATGGTGATAAGGGTTTTATAATTAAGGCCTCATAGTGTAAATGTATCGTATATTTGGTCTGGTTATGCACAAAATTCTACTATTTTTTCAAAATTGCAATTATGTTATTACCCATTCATTATGAACATAGTAAATAAAAAGTGAGTGAGTAATTAATGGAAATAATTTTGCAATCTTTACTCAAACAATACCTATAAAATTTTGTAAAGATAATGAAAATCTATCGCTGGACTAAAATGTACACTTATTATTACTCAATTGTGATACTTTAATTCTATTTATAATAATTTTTTTGTTGAGAATAAAAAAATTATTTGAGATACTGGTAGTTATTTTTTATGTCCTTGTAGAAGTAAACATACTTTTTTTAAATTGCCGGTTAACAATAAAATGTCAAAGGAAATTTAGTTAGTGGATAGTAAACATTGCGTGGTCCAGTAACTTTGATCTGGTCCTCTCTGGAAAGAAATAAAATAAAGTACGCCTTAATTAGGTACTGTAATTTCTTCGCTCTATCAAACCGCTTTAATGGTAGTGTTTTCTCTAAGTAATTGATTTTTTAATGGTACACACAATCTTTAATTATTTCAAAATAATTTTACTGCCAAGATTTTTTTCTTGAAAAGTACTAGGAGCGTTTTTTAAATAAGGCCCATTTATGCATGTAGCTCCTTAGTTTTTGCAAAAGCTGTAACAAGGCAGCTCCCAACTTGCTAAACATAGTTGTACCATTTGCAGCTCTGAGGCCTAGTAGGGCGTAGGCCTTTGTTGCGGCTTATGCGCTATATGGAGTTTTACACAGGAACAGCTCTTACTTATAAAATGTAAATTGTTTAAAGCCTATCTTCGCCTTTCGTGAGTTTTTGCCCTCTTAAAATGTTAAAATACTAGTTTTTTCTTCTATGACAAACATTGATTATAAACTTATCTTACCCAATCATCGTTTATTTTTCCTTCTAAATTGTTAAAATATTTGGATATCACGCTTATGTGGTGCATTTGTACAAGAATTGGTTGAGGTAACACTGGTGGAAATGAGTAGACAGAACTAACAAAAAGGGGATTTTTAATTTAAAAAAGATGTTTCAAAGACAATAAATATAATTATTAACTTATTTAAATTAAATAACAAGCACATTGAAATGTAATAAACCTTAAAAAATTTTTCAAATTTGGGGATATGATTGATTAACAGGTTTGTAAAGATATAGTATTTGGTTTTTCGAAATGCCAACGTAGCTGCCCAACAAAGAATCGCCAAATTAATAAAATAGATACCCTTAGCAATGTAGGAGTGCCCCTGAATTCCAGGTGTGTAAAAACAATGTTCTTCCATATTGCCAAGAACATTCTGCTAAGAACATATAGTTGAAATTACTTAGAATTTCACTAATGGTTATTAACACCTGTTTTAGATAAATGCAATCCAGCACATCATAATAGTTATTTCCTACAGTCACCTGACAAAGTGGCCTTCCTTGCACTGATTATAGCAAAGAAAGTTGCTAATTGCTGCCTCTACTTACTTTTGCCTCAGTTTTTTTCCTGCACACCAGTATTCCAACCAAACAACACAAAACAGCGTGCTTTTATTAGGCATGTAATACGAAAATAAGTTGATAACACTTAAAGATATTACGACAATGAACAGCTTGTTCAGTGTTTCCCATTTTGTTCAATGTTTGGATTTAACCTAACCTAAAAACTTGTTGTACTGTGTTTGAAAGACTAATTATTTATATGCTTTATAGTATCTGTAGGAAAAATATCTATAACAGGAGTGGAAACTGTCTTTGCTGCACTCGAGAAACTTTCCACACTCGCCTACGGCTGGTCCATAAACATTTCTCTTGTGTACAGCAAAGTTCCACTTAAACAACACTAATTTTAACACACTATACAACACGTTTTTAGGTTAAGTTGAATCCAAGCATTGAGCGAAAGGGGAAGTGCTGCACAAGCTGATCGTAGTTGTATCTTTAGTGTTGTCAACTTATTTTCAAGCGTACACAAATTACCTGCCTAATAAAAGCACACAGTTTCGTGTTGTTTGGTTGGAATACTGGAGAGCGGCAAAAGTAATTGCAGCAATTAGCTACTTTGCATGCTGTAATCAGTGTAAGGAAATTCACTTTGTCAGGTAGAACTGTAGGGAAATTATATTGATAGAAAGAATATCGAAGAATTTCAATGATACAAATCAGTGGTAACAAAAGCTAAACTAAACAATACATGGATTTGATGATTCCAAGTAAGATAAATTTCATGACAAATATCACACAAATACAACAAACAATCCATGCCAGCAAGATTCAAGACTTAACCGATATTACAACATTGATGGATAAATAATGTTTAAAAAGACAGTTTTACACTTTATACATATTTACAATAAGTTTGAGCATTTTCTACAAGTACTTAAACCACAACCTTATTGAGATATGAAGGAGGAATATAATAGAAGAAGACATAATCGTATGTAAATCTTAAAATTACTGTACCACGGAGTTACATATTCATTGGTCATGTATTTTATAAATTCATGAATTTTGTTATGGATAGGTTTAACAGCAGGCTTACCAAATAAACACATAGAATTTTCAGTGCGACCAGCTCCTTCAGTAGTAGAGGCTTAGTTTTCATTTAACCACAAAACTATGAACTAAGAAAACCAAAACTTTTACTGAAGGAGCCAGTAGCTCTGAAAATTCTATCCATTTATGTGTTATATATGCATTTTCCTCATCAAGATAAGCTTGTTGATAAACCTATCCACTACACAATCATTTAAAAAACCACAGGCCTAAAACAATCTTCACCAAAAAACTTCATATAATTACATTGTAACCTTTTATAATATACAGGATGTCAATGTACAATCTAAGATATCTTTATAGTTAATTATAATTCTCAAAAGAAAATCTGCACTGCACATTTTCACTACATTATTTACAGTCAAATGATCAAATAATTTTTGACAGAAATTACCTTGGAATTGACAATGATTAAAACCTAAACTAGCAAGATACAGTATAATACATTGCAGCTGTTTTGTATTTTTCATTGAAAAATACAAAACACAAGGTAAACGCCCATTCAAACGGGTAAGCCATAACTAGTTTGTGAGGATCAATAAATAAAAAAATTCTATATTTTGCAAATAAAGAAGAAAATTTAAAACTTTACATTTTAACACCTACAGCCAAGTGCTCGATTTGTAAAAAATGAGGTGCGGGAACTGTAACCTATTTAATGTGGTTAGTAGTAATATTTTTATCTTTCCGAAAGAGAGGTACCGGAACCCTCTGTTCCACCGTGTTCCCCCACAAATCGAGCACTGCCTACAACACTTGCAAATAGCCCACTACATTAGTAAAGATGAGTGACTACTACATAATTCCAAACTTTTGGAAGCAATAACTAAAGTCTCTTTGTACTAAATAAAACAATGCACACCTACAGTTAAAATCTCGTAAATATAGAGAGAAGATATACAATTTTTAATATTTACAAATCTACTTAGTTACACAGCAAGTGAAAGCAGTTGTCGTAAAAAATATGGTTTAAGAAATTTAAAATAAAACACACCATCATAAAAAAAATACTATCACTCTTAAAAGAACACTATTACAAGTGGAACTACGACTTTTTACACATCTACAAAATAAAATAATAGAGTGGGCAAGAGTATGTCAGATATACTAAACTAATTCCAGAGGTTGTGAAAACATAAAATGATTATATTAAGTCTATGATTATATGATACTATCCTCATTCTACAATGTTGGTAAATTTAAGTACACAAAAACTTAAACTTCCCTAATTTTTAAAATAAATGTTCACTCTATGAAAACAAAAACAAACCATAACCTATCGTATTTTACCTAATTATTCAAACATCCATAGGATATTTACAGCTTTGAAATTTGTACAAATCTACTAGGATTAATCAAAATCGTCAAAGATTTAAACAGAAGGCAGTAGAGTAGCTGCCAGCTTGAGTCCGTTTTTATCTCGTGACACCAAAACTCGGACGACGCTGAAAAGTTGAATCAGTTGTACTTTTTCTATCCCCTCCCATCGTATGTACAATTGGGACTTGTTGGCTTCACTCACATGTTCAACCTCGGCTTTTAGGGGCTGAAATAAGAGAAAAGCGCTTGATTTATCAAATACACAAGTAAATTAGCTGTAGCTGACATTCACTTTAAATCCTTCATACATATAATCTTACACGCTGTATATATATTTTTTCCCATTTCTGCATCAGCAATTTTGAGTGAAAGAATCACAAATACTTATAAGGGAAAATGGTCCTCTTATAAGGGGAAGTGGTTATAAGGGAAAATGGGATAATGGAAAATGGTCAAATTTTTTGTAAAATTTACAGATTTGGAGCATTTCCTTGTTAGGTTGAGTTTATTCCCCATAAATTGCACGAGGCAAAGTTAAGAAGCTTGATTCAAAAGAAGGGCGTCTGTAAAGATTTGTTATTTTCATAATTTCTTAAATCAAATTGTCAAGCCATCTATTATTGACTCAAAACGAAGAATTTGAATTTATAAATCCTACACATACAGTGGAGCTCTCGGTAAAATACAGTGAAACCAATAACAAGTGCAATTTTCCCTTAAGACCCTTAATTCATCTTACTGTAACCCCAATAAGAAGTTAACCTTGATAACGAGTTTTACTTGATAACCCCCATGAGAGACTTGATACCAAGATTCTACTGAGTCACATACGATCACTTACATCAGTGTAGACTCGCAATACGATTCCGAAGTCTCTGACGATGACATCAGCTGATCTGTCCTTGACGTCAATGACAGCCGCCAGACTCTCGACAGGTTCCCGCAGGTACAGGGCCAGAAACAGCAGGGAGCTCTGATCACCAGCCACCTTGGCCGCCAGCTTCTGTCGGTTGCAGATCGTGGCGATTCTATCAACACAGAAACATCTATGAGGAATTGTTAAGCAAAAATGAGTTAATAAAAGAGTCATCAACTACCAATTCTTGGAGGCCGTATACACTTGGGTGTGTATTTTAAGCTAAATATGAACGCAAGGTAAGTGTAGAATGGAGTTAAATGATTTGTGTAGCTTTGGTGCTGACTAAGACCAGCTGTTTCATTAGTCAGATCAGCTGGTTTATTAGTCAGGATAATTGATTAAAATCCCAAAAATAAAAGGTCTAGCTGAGGGTTTGGAACCATCAAAAAGCTACGACTTTTTTCAGGATCGAATCGGCGACCTTCTGATCATTACAACCACTAAGCTTACCAACTATATACCATTTTTCCATCAACTAGAAAAGGAACTGGGTTAAGGTTAAATGAACTATTTGGTAGGTATGCATAATAATAATTATCTATTTATTCAAAACTCTTGGCTTTTACTTAAATTTACTAAACATTCATTTAGGTTTGATTGGGTCTTCTTAATTCAATAATTCATGTAGATGTGCATTTTTTTACCTATACTAATGAATTAAGTAGCCTAATCTTTTCTATATTGTAATTGAAATCTTACTAAAACAATTCAAAATTTCAACATAATGTCAACACTTTTGAATAATACTAGGCCCTACATATTTTAGACACAAAAATCCTAAAGGCATTGAGAATAAAATTCCCGAAGACTCCTTTACACACCTCTTACTATCCAGATGAGACCAAGTAGGCGGAGGCGTGAGCTCTAGCGATGCGGCCAATAGTCTGTGAACCATCACGTCCGCGTAGCGACGAATCGGCGAGGTGAAGTGTGTGTAGTACGGAGCGTTGAGAGCGTAGTGGTGCAACTCTGGTATCTCCTTGGACGGACAAAAGTAGTTCGCTCTCTGTAACATTCTCAGTTGTAACACACATCACTTGGGCCTAACAAAGAATTAGTTTCAAACAAAACATATTCTCTTCTGTTTCCAAAAATTATTTGTGATGGAAATATTTTCAAAAAGATAATTAAATCATTGAACTACATGGTGTGACACTATACTATGTAAGTTGAGGTAAAAACGAATTATGAAATGAATTAATTGAATCTTATTAAGATTGTTCTCTAGTTGGGATCCCTGTGAAAATGTTCAGAAAAAAACACAAAGTACGCTGACATTAACAGAGGAAATTGATTTCAATATAAAACACGAATGAGCAACTTTCAGAGAGGGAGGGGGTTGTGTAGATCAAACTTGTGTGTTAGCATCAAATTGTGACTTTTGGATACTGAATCAATAGTCAAAGTTGATACAGATGTGGACAACAAACAAGCATTAGATAGAAAACTTTTCTTTCCATTTTTTCTCCATGTTTTGAAGTGAATTTGTGTATTTTCTGAACCAATGGCATTTTTTACGGTTTGAAAAGGAACGGTCCAAACCCTGGTATTGTTACTATCTAACCTAATTCTTTTTTATTAGATTATTGCATCATTAATTTATATCCCAATGACAAGGGCATCTGGGTCTGGAACGATCTCACTCGGACACGAACCAGTGACCTTCAGATTCAAAGGCCAGTACAAATTCTCATAGCACAATGTATTGACGAGACTCATAGCCTTTTACGAGTATATATGCAAACTAAAACTGAAAAGGGGGTAAAGTATTTTAAAATTTCAGTTTGAATTGATTAAAAAAGGGTTAAACTTGATTAATTCTTTGTTTAAGCTTACATCAATTGAGTAACGGCCAATTTCATTCTTAACATTTTTTATTTTTGTTCAGTTTTTACAACATGACTGCAAACCTCCCATAGCAGAAAGCAACAATTCTCACCAGCATAGGCTTGGCACACATCTGATTGAGTACGATGTACCTCGCCCAGCTGATCGTCTCGTCTTCTCCCTCCACAGGCGAGCCGTACTTCAGCATGGACGAGTGTAGCGTCCCGGCATCAGATATATCCAGGTGAATGCCATACGTCTCCAACCTTTAACATATCAAATACTAAATCAGTCGGTTAAAGGCATCCACCTGTTAGAAACATTTACTTCTTGCCGTTCAATAAAAGGTACTGGCTGAGAAACAGCTGGTCTTCAGCCACAACGAAGCTTCACAGATCATTTAATTCCATTCTACACTCATTCTTGATAGGAAATATACTTTATTTACATGTTCGTTGAGAACAGTACAACACCCTAGGATATTTACAGGTGTTTTGTTGGTTACAAAAAATGTATAAAAAATGTATGTAAAAACATAAAACTATATTATGTAAGAAGTTAACTTTACTGTAAGCTCAATTTAACTACTTTATGCTCTTTAATATTTGATAACTAGCAACAAATTAAACATGGAAGTGAAAAAAAAACTTTAAAATTTCATTGTTAAGTTATGTTGGACTCTTAATTCTCCAAGTAAACTTGCTCAACTTAACACTTCCAGAAAAGCTCTTTAGGGCCTTTAGTTTCCCTTAAACTTAAAATGTTAAAATACACTGGGAGATACACTAACCTCTTCTGCAGTTCCAACATCATGTTTAGTTTAGGAGGTAAGTGATGGCGGAGGAAAGCCAGGTCAGGATACGCTGTATATATGTGTTCCGCTACTGTCATGTTGGCTAACAACATGAATTCTTCAATCAACCTGGACACAATCAAAGTATTTATTATACAACTTGGAGTTGAATGATGAAATTTAACTTCCCATGGTTAAAGGGTTGATTTCAAAGGCATATTCTTGATTTTGTTTATTCTTAAGGAATTGGATAACACTTTTTCAAATTCTATCGTTATTTAATTTTTGATACAGTAAAATAAAGGATAAGTCAACAGCTTAACCCTGAAACTGCCAGTTAAAATTTCCAAAAGGTACTTTGCTGCACTTTGTGTATAGTTAATTTAATAAATTAATGGACATTATTATTTACAAGGCAGTTGCACTGTATTGTATATATTTTTCAGAAAGAAATAAGATTTAATTCATATTATTTGTGTAGTAATAAAACCTAATCACAATTTGAACTGTGTTATCTCTTTTACAAAAATAGTTCATACTGTATACATTTTTATAAGTTTAAAAAATGAGTGATAGAAGCTAACAAATAAGCCGTATTTTATTGTTTTTGTGAAAAAACTCTGATGATAAAATAAAAATACTCTAGTGCATCAGGGAAACAAACTGATTCTATAACTATTAAGGAAATTGACAGGAAAGCAGGCTTACCTTTAAATAAGTCCATAGAGACACATAACACATCACAAAATTTTGTGATGTGTTATGTGTCTCTATGGACTTGTTTAAAGGTAAGCCTGCTTTCCTGTCAATTTCCTTAATAATTCCTGGCAAATGCCCTATCTTTTTATAAGATGATTCTATAACTACTTATTCAATTATTGCATTTTTCTTCAACCTACCTATGCGACTCTTTATTCTGATATATAAAGCTGCTTAGAGGTGTTTGTGTTTCTGCGTCTAGATGAAAACACAGCTTAGGTTGGTCGATACGCAGAGCTCCTGAGTCAAATCTGCGTTTACGCATGATCTGCGACAGTTTGTACAGAATACGGATCCTTTCTGCACAGTCTTCAGCAGTGAATCCGTTGCTCACTTCCGGAAAATCTTCAGCCGTAAAGGTCTTGTCTAGATCATCAATCACCATCTAGAAAAGTCATCCAGTTACGACTGGTATCTCAGTTTTTTTAGTTTGCACACTGTAGAAAAACACAAACTCTGATACTGAATTATAAACAAAATTGTATTCAACGAGAAGGCAATAGTTGATTCATGTATTTTTTCAGAAAAGAAAAATTCAAGTAACTTACTAAAGGAATATTTGTATTTTAAAGTTCCTAGTTCTTGCACAGGTTCTCAATCTAGTGTCAAATACATTTTGCAGGCGAGTAAAGTCCTCAGGGAGAGAAAAAAATATTTTGGCAAAATCGATTGGAGACTAGGATAAGAACCTCAGTAAGAACTAAGGCTACAAAAAGATACCTTAAAAATAATTACAAACACAAATAAGTCAAGGGAAAAATAGATTAGATAAACAAAAGTTAAGTTGTGTGACCTTGTTGTAGGTGTATGAGCCTCAAGACAAGGGGGTAAGATAGCTAAAATCTATCCCTTTCAGAGAAAAAAGCTCAAATATTTAAATAAACTTCCCCGGACGAAAAAAATGTACTTATATTTATTCCACTTAACAGCAATTAATTTTAGGTATATAGCGCAACAAGCAGTAAAACTACATTAGTTAGTTTTTCTTTTCTAATGTCAAATTAAAAATTTTAAATCCAAACTTAATAACTACGAATCCCAAAACATTATCAAACAACGAATAGCCTACAAAAGCTCATTAAGTTAAATAACATGTCTTTGTAGAGAAAAACTCTAGGTTTTCCTTGCCATTAAAAAGCGAAATGCACCCACCTGAGCGTGCTCGTACGCTAACTTGGTGCAAGAATGGATAACTGAGCGAGCGAACCGGTGAGTGACGACTTGAGCGTCCGGAGTGAGCTCCACAAAGACGGAGAACGCCAGTTTATCTTCACCAGACGTGAGCGAACACAGTTGACACAGCTCTAATGGCAACATGTGGTAAACCTGAAAACACAATTATGTCATTCCACCCTGTTTCTGCACTACTGAATTATACTTTTATTATATCATTAACAAAAAGAATTAAATATAGACCGAAAACAGTGCTGCGGTTAGCATATGTTCTGGTGTCCACCTCTAGGAGTTCCGTGTACTTAAGGCACACAGCGCTGCAGCGTATGCTGGTATTATTCAGCGAGGAGCCGACGACGGCAGCGAATCGAACACTGAGCATGTTCTAGTGGCACATCGTGGAACTTTCCTTTGACAGTCTATATTTATTCTATTTAATTTGTCTATGATTATATTTACCATAAATGTGAGGCCTAATGTATTACCCTACAAACAGTTTCAAATGTGCATTTGTGTAGTTTACAGTTAATCCTTCTATTGAATTTTCATTTTTCTGGTTACTTTTTAACTCCAGAAAAACAATTGAAAACTTTAGAATATGCCACACTACTTTCTTACATTTGCATATTACGTTTGAGCTAGTGCAATGCTTCACAGGCTAACTCTAATCACTTATCTTATCACTAGTAATTAATGGACTTACCCTCTGGACTAGATATATAGTCGTAGCTCTCTTGCTCACTTTGTGGTCCAACATCGTCTTGGGCTGTAAAAAGTGACTGACATCGGAAATGTGAACTCCGACTTCGAAATTACCATTTTCCAGCTTCTTGGCAGAAACTGCATCGTCAAGATCCTTAGCTGTCGCCGGGTCTATGGTGAAAATGCACTCTTTCCTAGAAATTAACATCACATTCACATATCAATCAAAATACTACTGATTATATGATATGATCATAATTAATTAATTTTAGGTTGAAATATTTGTATAGTAAAACGAAATGATTCACCAAACATAAAGAAAAATAGATCCACTAAAAGAGTAATTCCAAACCTGAGGTCATCACGTTTTGCAATTTCTTCGTCTGGTATTGTGTACGGCAGTCTTGGGAAGAAAATGTTCAGTATCGGATCGTGGGGGGTTGGGTCCAAATTGTTTTCCAACAGTATAGCCATGGTTTCCGCTTCTACATCTCCACTTTTACCAACCTCCTTGAGGATTTTTCTGAAAAATAACAATCTGTCAGTTTATTTGTTCCATAATCATACTTACGCCATATCCTCTTCTAATACAAGGCCGTGGCGAGACAAAAGTGGCGACAATGCTGTCCTGTCAAACCGAAACAGCTGTTGCGTTGCTTTAATTTACAAATAGGCATGACGTTGTGACGTTGCCACAAACCAACCCCGCCCTCGGCTTTGTATTAGAGGAAGCTATGCTTACACAGTTAATGAGCATTTAATTGACCAAACCAACAAAATACACATTAAAGCTTTAATATAAAGGAACGTCATTTAGCTCGTTCTATATTATTCGTTAGTTTTTTAAAAGTGCTGGAAGTAACCTCTACTCAGTTAGATTTATAGCTAACGAATAGATAATATATTCGATAGTTTTAAATCGTTAGATTTTTTGTCAGGTGGAAGTATCTCAAATACGGGTTATTGATTTTATGTGATCAGTGAGGGTTACGTGCGGCCTTGAGGGGTCAGCGCCCTTGTTGACAAAAAACGGGGGGTGGGAAAGAGAAAGGCGAAGTCCAGTTGCTTTAGTATGCAGTGGGCCCATGGATGGGCAGTGACAGCCAATAACAACACCCCAACCAACGAGGGGTGGGAAGGGGGAATTTTTGTTTGGTTATAACCTTGGTGTGATAACCCAACCTAACATAACTGCCGCAGCGCGCTGTATAAGTGTGGTCTCCAGATAATTCCACAGTACCAATATTTTTACAGTAAGTATATATATTAAAAGTGACAGAAGACATAGTTTATTTATTATATTCCTACTTCAGTATCTTAAAGTCTATGCTATTACCGACAATCAAGAATGTCTAACCTCAATTAACTTTCTTTCCTGGTTCTAATTGATATAATAAACTATAGACATCCCAAGAACAAAACAACCTGCGCAGAAATGAAAAGATCACGTGGTTCGCGCCGGTAGGTGGAGCTTACACTTCAAACCTGCGTGGCTCGAAATGGCCCAGGGTTCTTTTGTTTCTGGTATGACTATACCACGTTTTTGACCTTGTCCAACAACTTGTTCAACCAATTAAAATCCTTTATGAAATTTTCAAATTCTTTCCGACAAATTACAACAACTGACCCTTCTGCAATGTTGACGTTAGTCCACGCCGTGATCTGCGCCGTAAAGATAGTGTCTGTGTACGCCCCTGGGCTGTGTTTGTAGCCTGCGGGGAGCGAGGGGTCGCTCAGCGGTATCTTGATTCTGGGCACTCTGGAGTCTCGGGGCGAAAACACCACGTAGCTGCTGTTAGGTTCAATGGTAGACTGTAGCTTGCCGACAGTCGTGCGAGAGTGGAACTCTTCCTTGATGAGCACAACCTGCACAAACGATTTGAGGTTAACCTTTCCAAAATGGGCGGAGGATCAGGGATATGAGATGAAGGACAAGTTACGGATGTGTACTCATAATTTTTGTAGATGTTGGGAACAGGAGGTGAATATTTCCGCCACTTCTGTGGCATGGTTGGTGTTCGAACCACCTGGTAGGAACCACTGTGACCATTTTACTCTGCAGAATGGTATGAACATGAACTTGTAAGTGACAGACCACTATGTGCTAAATAAACTCAACCTTATTATTTATTCCAAATTTTCTAGAACATAAATCTTGTTTAGATTTACCATACAATATTTTTTTAATGAAATATTGTGTAACAAAAACGTTTCATTCATTAAGATATTTGTAAGGATAGGTCGCAAATACATCCAAATCATTATTTTTATCGTAAAAACGTCAGCTGATTATCTACTCACAAAATTACTCTTTTGTTGTATTTATTTAAAGTAGAAAGGAATACAAAAATTTACAAGAAATATTTTTTTTCCATTTTACAAGTTTTGGCCTGCCTTGTTAGGAATGTGCTATGTACAGATTTTTCAGAACAATAGGCTTTAAAAATATATTTGGTTCTTACTGTCTACGCAATCTGCCACACTCAAGAATATAATAGGCTTATATTTGAATGGAACAATTCCACACTGGCACAAGAAAGACAAAAGCTTAACACCATGCATAAACATCTGAGAATTTAACTTTTACACCTTTTTAAATCAAGAAAGGTTTGAATTGGGAAGAGATACCATAAACAATTCAAGTCTTTTTTTAACATATTTCTCCAACAGTGTTTTTTGATCCAGGTTAAAATATCTTTTCCAAAAATTTTCTTTTTTGTTTCTACAGTGTAATGGCAGGTATGGTTTTCCAAAAGAAGAATGTTTATTATTGGTTCAAAGAGTTGATTAAAATTACGGATATCCAAACAATGTGTTTTGATGATTCCACCAAATATTTATTAGTAAAATTGAAAGGAATGCTTCTCAGATTTGACTTTGGTAATGACATAAAAATTTGGCTAAAACACTATATTAAAAAAAATTACTGTTTCCCAATCACTACATAATTGCTTAAGATACTTTAAAGCGTAGAAGGTAACTTACTTTTCCAGTACGCTGTTCAGGATTGACCTAAAAAAAAATAGTTAAAGTTTATTAAATAAAGTTAATTGTTATAGTTTATAAAAATTATAAAGTTTTGACTACTAATTGATGCTCATAAAAATTGATCTAATACTGCTGTGAATGTTAATTATAATTGGGCCTACTAGGTACACATGGAACAATAACAACAAAATAAAAAAATCTTGTTCTAGTTTAAAGCAGTAGGCTTTTCAGTTTTCCAATCACAATAATCAGTAGGCTTTACTAGTTTTATATTTTCACTTCTTTACAGTATATAGTATATAGGCTACATAATAGACCTGTAAGTTTGACTCCTTGAATACAACTGATGCACCAACATTATCTGTTATTTTTAGTAAAAAAGTGATTATTATAATACAACTATTAACTAATAAAATTATAAAGTTTAGATACATGATAGGACCTACCTTCCAGTTTTCCGGTGGATTCAGAAGAACAACAACTTCATCTCCTTCTAACGCTCGATTCCTGTTTTTCAACCCTTCGATAATGATGTCTTTTTCTTCTCCCTTCAAAATTATACAATCGTTAGCTAAACTAAATTGCAATCAATAACATTATTTGCAACTGTTTTACTGATGGTAATATTGTTTAAACAATTAATTAAACATCTAACATCATGAATCTGATATAGTGCATGAGGCAAGAGTCTAATACACATAAGCAACCCTAACTTCAGACCACACCTTGCGCTCTGATATTTTTTTTTTTTTTTTTTTTAAGATAATCAGTGGAGTAGTCATAAATTTTCTGATGTGAGAAAACTCACCATTGCCGCAAAAAAGATTCGGGTGGATTACAGGTCTATATAGGTTCTTTGGAAATAGCAAGGTGTGGAAACGTGTGAAAATGCATTTTCCAACATTCCTATATTAATAACCTCGTGTTTTTCTAAGACAATGACTGGCATTCCCAATTAACTACTATGCCACTGATTGTTTCAACCAAAAATAAAACACCACCACAGCAGCAAACCTGCAGACTTAACGAATTACAATTAGTCTGATCCTTAAAAATGTGAGAGATTTATTCCCTCTAAAAAAACCATTATGTTAGATGAGTGTAGTGTATACAATAATGTACCATAATGTTGCCATTGTTACGATATTTAGATTTGTGTTATAAAGAGTTGGCAATATGTTTTGCATTTGTGTCCTGACTGCGATCAGGCGACTGTGACGTCATATCGTATGATTTCAATAAAGCTCCCGGATTGGCTACAACCCATCATGCCACTTTTCCCTCCACGTTTAACCGCCGATCCAAAAGTTTTCCTTGCTCTCCAGTCCTCAAGATTCCAGCAAACCGTAAACATGTAGTCGGCCAGGTTTTATTTAATTTCCCAAATGGTGTTTTATTTCAATGATTGCACCCCTAAACGTTCCAATGAGTTACTTAGGTTTGCTGCTACACTGAAAGTAATAGAGTTAATTTAGTAAAAATTTTGACAGCTTAGGTAGAAATAAAATTCTCGATGAGTATTGTGTTGACGACTAAAGAGTAAAAGTTAGTGTGCACCACTGTGCATAATTAAATTACCTTCACCAAACCAGAAATTATGAAAATAATTAAAGAGTCAAGCCATATTATTTACCAACCAGTATCCAATATTACCATTTTAACAATTGTTTTATTTTTACCAAATCTGGATTTAATAACAAACTGGTTTTATTATGTTTATTGTGTACATTAACATGTGTGGTTAATGTATGTTAGATAACCAACCTCGGAAACGTATGCATCTCTGAAGCATTTGGCGTTGATTCTGATGCTGCCCTGCAACAATATATACGAAAAATGTAACGTACAATATAAACTTAAGTAATACTCATTAAAACTGTTAGTTTACACTAAGATTTTTATTGAAGATCTTTGCTCTTAAGAATTTCATGAAGTAGCCTAAGTATGAAAACAAACAAAAAACTAATTTTCTAGGAATGTATATTTTAATGTCATTTATTTACTTTTAGGCCTACTTAGTTATTTTTATGGTTTGATATAATATATCAAACTCTAAAAATTTCTACAAACACACCTCTTTTTTCTGTACAACGCTAAGTAAATAAATTATATTAAAATATACATTCCTAGAAAATTACTTATTTGGTTAAATATTGCAATAAGTGGAAAATGTTTAATATTCGTTAAAAATTGTCCACACTGATCGCTGGGGTAGACAAAGTTTGTTTCTATTATTTTAGGGTTATTTTCATGATTTGTGCTTTACTATTTGGTTATAGGAGACCAGTTATTGTTTATGATTAAATCGTTTTATTTGGTAAAATGAGGTTTTAAATGACTGAAATAACAAAAAACTAATTATAAACAAAACACAACCTCTACAGTTGGACGTACAGAACTAACAATAAATTGGCATCAGCTGTTCCATAAGGATGACAAATCTACTACTAAGGGAGTATGTTTTATCTATGACTTAAGTCTCGACTGATTGATTTGAACACCTCATAGTCAAAGAGTACTTGGTGGGGCGACAAAGTCCTATTAGAAGACTTTTCTTCATTATTTTTTGTTGGATTTATTATATTATTCTATATTTTAAGTGTTGGATCGAAAGTCAAAGCAGTAAGTTCAAAGTAGCATTTCGGTACCCTGTTAGTCACCAAGTAAAAAAGGACAAATTTTTATGTGATTTGGAAAAAAATAAAATTTAAGAAACTCTTAGATAAATGTTGGTAACTCACAGTAATCATGGTTTTGTTTCTCAGTCCTTCCTCAATTTCAATCGGGGACAAATAGTCTTCAAAAACATCTTGCTTCTTATTTTCGCTGGGAGGTTTCTTCTTCCTTTAATAATAATTACTTTATTAGTGTTCTATCAGGAAAGTAATTTTCCAGTTTTATTAACAGCGTCTTTGCCACACTGAGCATGCTTCTTGAACTAAACTAAAACTACAAAAAAAATTTTATTTAAAAAAATATAAGCAAACATACCAAGAAGACCCAGGGTAAGAAAATAAATAGGCTAATCTATATCATTAAATATTTTAAGGCAGCAATCCACATCTAGGTGATTATTTTAAGCTAAAAATGAATAAAGGGTGAAGAGAAATTATCTGCGTTGCTTTGTTACGGTACTGATTAAGATCAGCTGTTTCATTAGCCAGGATCATTTAGGCCTAATTAAAGCCCAATGACTAAGGAACAACTGGGTCTAGTTTTGAACCAGCAAAAAGCTACAGACTTTTCTCAGGCAACCTTTGATTTACAGGCGAGAACTATGACCACTCAGCTACACAGCTAGTTAAATGGGATAAGGCAAAGCACAACAAATTTTTGATGAATAAAGATCCATACAGCATTAACGACCACAACGTGTCTCTGCTTAGCCAGTGGGAATCAAGTATCAAATAAGTTAGTAAATAAGTAAAGTAGTGATGATAATGATGATAATTAATTTGAGATAGATCTACCACTGTTAGTGTCACTTTGCCGTGGTGAAGAAATATATTGGGTAAGTAGGCCTAATAAAAAAAATATTGCACTAGATACTTACCGTGCTGATTTTTTGTGGTCTTGGAAAAACTGTTCATTCGATTTTGGTGATCTAGGCGTATAGCTATTTTTTGGCGTTTTAGGGCCTTTTTTGGAACTCGGAACATTGTCTGTGACGTCTATTCCATAAGAGGGACTAAGAACATTGTGCGGGACGTTTAACCCAAAATTAACGTCTATTGAAGGTCTCTTAACTTCTGTTCCAACATCATCACATGGCCTTGCTTCAGCATCTTTTGTGTCTTTGTCGCCAACTTGTTTTTTTCTATTCCTAGATTTTTTCGGCTTCCGACTTTCTTGTGTTAAAGAACATCTTTTCATATCATCAACTAAATCAGCAAGTTCTTTCTCTGCTTTGGCTAGAATGCCATTAAAGTTTGGTCCTGTTGTTATGTCACAGTTCACAGCTTTATTCATGTTCCTAAAATAATTACTACAAATTAAATTGCAAAGTTAATTTATCAACCCTTCTAAAAAAAATTGAGGTTAATCTAGACACTGTTAAACTTTTAATCATTCCATAAGTTTAACTATTAAGTTAAGAAAAAATCTTGTCTATGGACTTTTGGAATTGTTATTTTTTGACCTCTTTAATCCACTATTTTAAATGTAGGCTATACATTTTAATTGTAAACAAAAATAATCTGGAGATAAGTTAACATACGCTACCGGTAATTAAACATCTTGGTTCATTATAACGTAACTTTATCTTCTTAATTCAACCTAATTTCTAAACATATCAAGTTTCAGGTCACAAATTGTCTGAATTTTAGTCCTCGTTCTTCAAGTCAGCAATAAGTTTAACTCATTATAAGTTAAGCTGCGTTTTAGCATTCCTGTTACTGTCGGCAGACAAATCGTCCCACAGGCATCGATATTTTTGGAGTAGCTAAATCTAGAAATGTTACAATGTCTTTGCCCGACCACTTGTTGGTGTCAACCATATTCAATATCCACAAAAAGAAGTATAAAATACAGTACAACAAATCTAACACTGCATTAACCAACTAGACACGTTTTAATTCACCAGCTGCTTGTGAGATACTAGGTGTTCACATTTGCTAGCCGCCACCAGCGAACAGTTCACGTTTTAACTGCCAGCGCAGGATAGGCAGCGCTAAAAAGTTAAACATGTTCAACTTCTGATTTTTGCTAGTAAAAACCAGCCCGCTGGTATTTACCAGTCGTTGGTTCTGGATCAGACTAGGCTGCTTGCTGGCAATATTAGGCCTACCAGCGGCTGGTTTGTAGCATGTAAGTTACTAAACAGCCTAGTGTGATCCCAGCTATTGATCATTGGGTAAAGTACCTTAATCTATCCCCTTAAGTTATATGTACCCTGAAACACATAGGCTACTGACAGATTATTGCCTCAGAAGGACTGCATGTCCAAAAAATAGTTTACTACTGGGCTACATTACGTATTACTTAACTTAATTTTTTTTAATACGTATTGTAAATAGACGCAATCTATCCAACTTTGTAGGTCAAAGATGAAGAAACTAAGTATTCAAGTTAGTAAGTACCTAAGTACCTAAATGGACAATCGCACATTGCAAATTCGTCTCGAAATTCAGGACTTTGAACCTAGGCCTAACTTAAGGGTCTGGGTACAGTTTCTTAACTGGGCTATGCTAATCAATTGGAAACTATCGATTTGACAAGTTTGGTTGGTTAGGTTAGGTTATTTTTATATATTTAAAAATATCGATTATTAATCAATATTTTTAACTCAATAGTTTCAATCGATATTAGCATAGCCCAGTTAAGAAACTGTACCCAAGGGTCTCACTATGCAAGGCTATAGGCCTAGAGCTTTAAAAACATAATTTAGAATTGGCTAACTAAGTTAAACATTCTTACTTATTTAAACATCCACGTCAAAAATTAACTAGGCCTACAGCTTGCTTTAACTTATCGAGGTTAAGCAATAGGCCTACCTTTGCCTGGGCTTGGACCTCTTCTTTTTTGGTTTTTCCATACTTCCAGGATCTCCGTTGGAGTTGGAAACTGCAGTAGACGTGGTTGGAGTAAAGCATAGTCCAGGATTCATTAAACTTGAGCTTGGACTGCAAACCAAGACACTTCCCTGACTTCTGTCTGAATCCATTGAAGGCTGTACCTTAACTATTAGCTTAGTAGTTTAGTTAGCTTTGATCTAGCTCTCTAAACTAGCGATCCTTCAAAATTGATTTGTAGGCCCAACTGTACAATCTTAACTTTCAAAAATTGCCAAGATGCAACACAGAACTTGTACGATTGTAAGCCCAAAAGGGGTTTGAAATGTTTTTTTTAATTAACAAGTGATTAAGATGATGAAATCACTCAAAAATGTTAACAGATCAAACAAATCGCGTAGTCTCAGTTATGCAGCCTAAAGCCTGATAAAAACAAAAAACCTTGGTAAAAATGTATCAATGAAATGTTCCACTTGGCTACACTTCACTATCAATACGCTAGGGTTATAGAATAATAGAATCAGAAGAACCAGAAAAGAAACTAAACAGACAATATGGTGCAATTTTTGACATTTCATTTGGCACAAGAAAAAATAGGTTTGAGGTTACAATATAAAATCCAAAGAGTTAAAAAATTAGTTACGAGGACGGGTTGATGGTCATGGAGCATATACACAACAAACAGAATTACTCAATGTAACCAGAAAAGTGTGGAACCTGTGGAACGATATATCTGTAATTGAAATTCTGTAATTTTACCTGTGTAAATGGTGAATCCGCTTAGCAATCACTTTCCCCAACTCACCTAAAACGTTCTATAAGACGTGTTTAAACTGTTCCTAAACACCAACACTAATTTTCTTAATTACTTTTTTGTCGACGATGCTTCCTGTAGACACCACACCTAGATTACCAGACACCACGATAAAAAACTCTCTTAAACATCGTGACAGGGCAGTTTCTTAAACTATAGACACCTCACCAAGATTACTAGGTTATTATTCACTTTCCCCAATTCACTTAAAATGTCCAATAAGACGTTTTTAAACTGTTACTAGACACCAACACTACAACTTTCTAAATTGATTTTGGTCTCCGAGTCTTCCTGTAGACACCATGCCTAGATTACTAGACACCCACCCCTGAAAAACTCGCTTTAGCATCGTGACAGTGCAGTTTACTATACTACACACCTCACTAAGATTACTAGACACCACGCCCAGATTACTAGACTCCAAGCTTAATTTACTAGACAAAATACCAAGATTACTAGACATCACGCCTAGATTACGGTTAGGTCAATCTAGGTAATGGTATCTAGTAATCTGGGCGTGGTATATAGTAATCGGTAAAGTTAACTAACTTTTAGCAATTGAAAAAAAACGAGATTATGAGTTTATCGAGGTATTACATTGTTTAGAAGTAAATTGTGAATTATTTTTGTTTCGGTAAATTATTATTAATGCAATAATTTGCAAAAATCAATTTGCACTGTGTAATTGATTATCGTTTTCTAATGCCATGAAATTTGTATTTTCGTTTTGTATCGGTGTATTGCCGGTTTTAAATACAGTTAAATAAATTGTAAGCTTTTCCCACATTAGACTATTTTGTAAATCAACCCTGTGAATGTTGTTGGCTCATACATAACGATTTGAAATTAGCACAAACGTACAAAATTATACAGTGTAGGTTTTCACTTACTCAACCAATCCATTGTAAAAGACTGAATGAACTAATTGTGAAATAACTGTACATGATGGATCCTAGATTTGTCAGAGAACTGTCCCTCCCGCCAACAGATTACTTTTCGCCCCTATATGATCACACCTTTGCAAGCTTCTGGTCAGGATAGAGCCACCCGACTAGACCACATAATTCAACCATGTAGATGTTTCTAATAGCAGATGAATCTAAAAATATATAAAAGGCAAAGCCCTCACTGACTCACTGACTGACTCACTCACTCATCACTAATTCTCCCACTTCCCATTTACCTAGGAGGCTGAAATTCGGTATACCCATTCTTTGGGCATTGAGTAGGAAAACTAGGTAGTTTTTATTCTGATCGGGCTTTCGGGCTCCGCCCAGTGGCTCTGGAGTTTCCCATGTTAACCTGATGATTTTTCATATTTAAAAGGAATTAATGGATCTTAACAGCTGTTTCAATTAAACAAGTTGGTTCTGTTCTATGATGTCCAATAGCATTAAAGTTACAAGGATTACCAACAGGGTGCAGCACTATTTTTTTGTATATTTATGACAACAGCCAATTTGCAACCAAAAGGTGAGTGAGCGTAGCGAGCAAACTTCAACCTGGAGGCGAGTTAGCATAGCGAACGAACTTCAACCAGGACGTGATTGAGCCATGCAAATTCTTATGAAGTTATACGGGACAAAGCCCGCGGGTACAGCTAGTAAGTATATATATATATATATATTTTTAATTTTGTCTAAGTTGATTGGTAATTATGTTGAACCTTCCTCTTTATGAGCTCAGTTTGGGGAATGAGCCCCTGGCATTTTTTACTGTACCTTGTTATGCATTAGCTCAGTACTGCTGGTGGTTGGGTTGGTCCCAAGTTTTCATAATAAGTCTCCGAGCACCATGGTTGGATCATGAGTTACATCACTGCTGTTCCGCTTTCCCGAGAAGTCCAAAAGTATGATAGGGGCCTGGCATCTAATGGCTATGATAATTCTATTCTACTGTCCATTATTTGAAAAAAATAAGATCAACAATATCATAAAAACTCAAGCTAACCCATAATAACTCTTTTTGTGGATCTCAAATCTATATCTAATCATATCTATATATCTATCAAATCTATCTCTATTATATCTAACGACCATAGAAACTACTGATTTCTATTAACATTGCACTAATAATCTTATATCAATAAAAGTACACATTTTGTGCATATTCCATTATATTTCACATACTCAAAATGAACAACTTCCAAGGTATACAATAAGCGAGAATGAGTAGGATAAGTTTATTTATACATTTAACATTAAAATTGTTCATCTGTTGCTGCGGCTGGTGGTTCGGAGTTGCTTTTCTATTTCAAACTGTCTAAGGTCTGTCCGTTGCAAAAAGTCTTGTCTTTCTAAGTACCTGAAAGTACAAAGAATAAGTTACTTAGTTTGTCAAAAATGAAATATTAATATTTAATGCAGAGTGCAATAAAATGTATGAAAGAGTAAGTTAATATTTGGGGAATTCAAAAGCCTAGGACTCTCAGACTGAGATGAGGGGTGCTACAATAGGTCAATAGACTGAAGTAGCAAGGGGTAAATGAATACCCTTAAACACCCCCCCCCCCCACAAAAAAAAAGTTAACATAATGGTATTTGGCATCAAATATCTAAACTAGTCACCATTTTTATGGTTCAAGAGTTATTATTCAAATTTTGCACAAATTTAGCAGCTAATAGGATGAACATTTTCACAGAATCTCAACGCTCTAGCTCAAACTGTTAAGGAGTTGTGAATGTTTTTGTAAAAGACATACAAACGCTAAACAGGCAGAGATAGAACACATGTTTATATTAGCGAATTTCCCTATAGGGAAGTAGCTATTACCGTAGGTGGCACGGTAAGACCTAGACCCGGGACCGATTTACTTTTTCATTTTGATGTCCCCAGAGGCCAAAAACACCATTCGTTCAAATTTGTATATATGTATATATATACCGGGTGTCCAAAACCACCCGTACACCCTTTTAAAAACGAGGGAAACCTTTTCTTACAAACAACAAATAACACAGAACTAGATAAATTGGGCATGGTCTACTAAATGGTCATATTTTCAAATCCAAAATCACACCGGAAGTGGCTTTTTCAGACCGGAAGTTGACTTTTTTAAATTTAAACTACCTACCAATTTTATTGCGGAATCGGATTCTACGTTAAAAAATACATAACTTTTGTCTAAAACAATTTTTGAAAAAACTTTTTTTCTACCTCTAATCCCCCATTAAAGTCAATAATTTTGAGTTATTCATCTGTCAAAGTTACTGGAAACAATAATAGAGAAAAACAAATAACAAAGATTACATAAAGACATATGATGAATAGAATCAGCTGTTTATTGTAAACATCTTAGTATTTGAGTAACACCTGGTCTACACATTGCTTCGTTTAATTTTTTTTTAAATAATTTGTTTTTACATTTGACTACTTTAATGTAAAAAAAAATGATTTATTTTTAAAATAAAATGAAATTAAGCAATGTGCAGACCAGCTGGACAATTACTATAGTGTTTACAATGAACAGCTGATTCTATTTATCAGTCTTTATGTAATCTTTATTATTTGTTTTGATCTATTATTGTTTCAAGCAACTTTAGCAGATGAATGACCCAAAATTATTGACTTTAATAGGGAATTAGAGGTAGAAAACAAGTCTTTTTCAAAAATGTTTTAGACAAAAGTTATGCATTTTTCAACGTAGAATCCGATTCTGTAATCAAAATTGGTAGCTAATATTTAACCCTAGCAGTGGCCAACCGTCGTCTGGTTACGGTATGACGTTGATGCTTAGAATGGCCAAAGTCGTCTGGTTACGGTATGGGCCGAAATTTTTTTAACGGTAAAAAAAACACTTACAATCAACTCAGATTATAATAATATATATACCATTCGAAAGATCACATTCTGAACTTTCATTTGATTACATAAACAAACCCTGTAGCAGGTATATAACAATGTCACGACGATTAGAAATCAAATGAAATTTTGGCGCGGTACGACTTTTGCAGCCGACACTTGGGAACTGGCAAAACACGTCTTGTTTGGCATTACCCTGCTCGGGTAATTTTCGTCTTGGGATGTTGCGGGTGATACCACTGGATAGCCATTGATTTTATCTTCATTGTGGTAGTGATATTTATAACTAAATATTGATTGCACAATCGGTACGATTTTATGAAAACAGCTGTTTTCGAAATTTCTAACAAATGGCCAACAGTCGTCTGGTGACAGTATGGAAAATACGAATTATATACAGTGAAAGTTATTATTACTAGTCATATAGTATATCATTTTGAAGAGGAAGAAATTTAGATTCAGAGAGTGGCAGCCCTGCACTCAGGGTTATTTCTGTATGCTCGCATGTAGACAGTGATGTAGACGACGGAAGTGAGTCATTACTCAATTACTGCCACAGTCTGTCAGCTGTCTTGTATTGCCATTGTTTGTTTGTGTTGTTGCCGTAATAGTTTTATCCGCGATTTATTACTAAATATGTTATTAGTTCGTAGTGTTAGTGTAAGTGAAGTGTTGTGTGTGTGTATAACAGTTATCTTCATGCATAAATATTACTGAATTGTGTGGAATAGTGTTCATAAAAGGTTGTATTTTGTTAGCATCATGTCCTAAAATGACGATTCTGACATTCAGAGATTGTTGTACCTATATAATGATATACCCAAGGTGTTATACATTTTTATAAAGGTAAATGAATACACTACAACATGTTTATAATGGTTCGGGGGTAAACAATTTTGTAAAAAAGTTATAGCCTATACTAAATAGGCCTACTACTGTAGGCTATTTTGTTAGCATCATGTCCAAAAATGACGATTCTGACATTCAGAGGGGTTATAATGATTTACCCAAGGTGTTATACATTTTTATAAAGGTAAATGAATACACTACAACATGTTTATATTGGTTTGGGTGTAAAAAATTTGGTAAAAAATTATATAGGCTACTAAATACTGTACACTCCATTTTCTCGAAATGCGCAAAAAATTCAAAACGTTCTCAAATTGATAGGCCTACATAATCATAGGTGAAAATAACTTTTTACCATCATACTTATGACTTTTTTGGATTCCTTACTTCATTGGCTTTACAAATATGTAGGCTACATATCATCAGCCTACATAATGTTTCACAACACAAGCAAACACTGTAGGCTATAGTTTACACTTATTTGCGGTTTTGCGGTTATTGTATTATTATGTCCCTATTACGTACCTACAAAAAAATATTTCTAACATGTTATACATTTTTATGTTGGTAATTGAATACACTACAAGATTATTATGTTGGTTTGAAGTAAAAAAATTTGGTACAAAAGTTGTATACTAAGTACTGTGAATTTTGTTTTTCGAGAAATCGCTAAAATATATAAACATTATTTTATATACGTATGTTTATAGGTAAAAAATTATTTTTACCATAAACTTTATGACTTTTTTTGATTCCTTACTTCATTAGCTTTACAAACATGTATATATCATTATTAGTATACACATGTATTATAGAACTTTTTACAACATAAACTAACACTGTACGGTTCTCAATTTTTTCGGTTCTCCGTTTGTCATTATATTTCGCCCCAAAAACTTATAAAAAAAAAATATTTTCCTAACATGTTATATATTTCTATGTAGGGAATTAGATTTTCTACAAAATGTATATAATGAATTTCCCATAAAGAAATCCGTAGAAAAAAAATACCAAGGCCGCTTTTGAAATTTCAAAAAAAAAAATTCAAATTTTTTTATTTTTTTTACTTTATCGATAAAATACACTATCTAAATCATTATGATATTACTATTTCTAGATTCTCCTGTTCTTTCCGAACAAAATGAATATGAGGTTGGCTAGGTTTACTTGTACGGTTGAATTTTTACGAATTTTCAAAAAAAGGTCTGCAAAATCGCCAAAATGGGTTGGCCATTCCCCACTTCTAACATTGGCCACTGCTAGGGTTAACAAAGTCAACTTCCGGTCTGAAAAAGCCACTTCCGGTGTGATTTTGGATTTGAAATTATCACCATTTGGTAGACCTTACCCAATTTAGCTAGTTCTGGATTTTTGTTTGTTTGTAAGAAAAGGTTTCCATCGTTTTGAAAGGGGTGTACGGGTGGTTTTGGACACCCGGTATATATAGACTTAACGTCCGTGAATGCGATAACTTGAGTAATTTTTGTCCGATTTTGATGAAATTTGGTTTAAAGGTGTAATACGGGATAAACTTGAATGAGTTCGCGAACCAGCACGATCGGACCATAGGAACGGGGCTTTATGGGGGGTTTTATGGGGTAAAAATTAGTTTTTCTCACTTTTGACCCTCAAAACACAAAATTTCCCGATTTCTCTTTAGACCTTTTTAAAGATCTTAAAAAAACAAATAATTTAGTATATAAAAGTATTTTTGTTCAATTATTAGTAACGGAGAAAATAAAAAAAATTGTAAATTTAAAATTCCCATGTTATTCTTATGGAGAATATTGTCAAATGTTGTAGTTTGCTTGTTTATGGATATATTTTGATAAAACTTGGCAAATTTATTTATTTTGTACTAAGCTATCAATATTTTACTCAAAAACACACTTTATTAGTTTCCTTGTAGCAGCAAACCTAGGTACTCGTTTAACCTAATGTTATTAAAATATATTTAACTGAAAATCAATTCAGACAAATGGAAATTCGCTTAGTCGGCAGGTTTGCTGCGGCGGGGGTATTCTTGTTTGTTTATTTTGGCCCGAGGTATCACTAAGTACATTGTGTCCCCACCAATTTTGAGCACACTGTATTATATATGAATTTGGATGGATGATGTTTTTGGCCTTTAGGAACTTCAAAATCACAAAGTATTTTAAGTAAGCTTAACTCTAAAATTTCACCCCTCTTTCTCTATAACAACTCGATACAACAATCAACACACTATACAATGTGCTCTTGTGTTTTCCTTCTCTATAACCAACTTAAAGTTACGTACCCTTCTTTTCCCTTATTGTGTGTTTGAATCTCAGCCTCAATGCCTTCGTCCTTTTTGAACCTGTCCCAGTCCAGTTTGGACTTCTCCAATGTGCTCAGTTTGTTCTTTTTACCCAGCTGTCCAACAATGGCTGCCAAACCACTTGGGCGACCCTGTGTTACTCCTCCTCTCATACCCCCTCTCACCATTCCACGGCCCCTGCCTCGGCCCGAGCCCTGAGCAGGCAGCTCCTTCTTCACTCTGTAATATGCGTTATTATATGAGATTGGTCCAGGTACGCGGAATTGGCTAGCTGCAGAACTCGCTAACCCATGCTAAAGCCTAATTATAATCTGGCTGAAATATTTAGGCGGTTTAAGGGGAAGAACTCTTATCCCCTCCACTGGAACTGACCAAGACAGCTGTTTGCTGTTATGTATAAGACGTAAACAAGCCACTTCTATTTTTCATTTTTACCTAATTCATACAGGCCTTATACATGGTTGGAATTAGACGATTTTTGATTGGAAAAGGCTGATTTTCAAATTATATCCTGGGGGCCTAGGGGGTATTCCATACTAAAATTTCTAAATTTAGGCACTGAAATCTGTGTTTGTAGCTATTATATGTGACGCGAAAAATGTTATCAAATTCGTCTTGATTTAAAAGTTTGTTTAGTATAGCATACACAGTTAAGAAAACCATAAAAAAAACTAACTAAATTACTGTAACACTTAAAAAATATAGCTCTTTTTATAACAAAATATAGGTTAAATATACAGATAAATAACCTGAACTTGAATTTAACAAACAAATAAATGGACGCAATGACGCCTATCACAAACGTCCAGTACGCAAAAGGAGTCCGTGACGTACTAGGTTTCTGACGGAGCATTTTTCTCCCAGTGACTAGATCACTGAGTAACTAAAGACTTATAGAGATCCATCACCATTAAAAAAAGTTGTTATTTATTCTTTTTACCTGCTCGACAGAAAAGTGGATATATATCCACTTTTCTATTTTCAATCGAGCTATAATCACCTATAAACACCACTATACAACCAATAACGATCTCAAAGGTTCATTTCTGCTCATGGATTGGAAAAGTGAGCCCGTGGACTTACGTATTTATAAGTGAGCGAATCAGTGTTACGTTTTCAAAAGATCGCTTTGAAAGCGATCCCGCAGATTTGTTACAGCGAGTCTGTGGACTCGCGGTGACATTTTTTCGGCGTTGTAAACTGCTCAATTTGAGCAATATTAAAAAAATAAAATTAAAAGATCAAAAGGTTACAGCTCAAATTTAAAAGCTATCAAAGCTAAATTAGAATAATATTTTCATTAGCAGTATTAAAAATAATTTAATTAAAATAGTAACTAAACAAAATAATTAATTTCTAATATAACATTATTAGTCATTAAAGTCGTTGATGTTGGTATATTATAACAACATTTACATTATTATTCTACAATCAATATTAACCCTTTGATTGCCACGGTTTTCAATATTGTTAGAATTCGATTCCGTCTGTGCTCTCCATATCAATGTCATCGGTACTGTCGCTGTCAGTTGTGTCGTTCTGGAGATCAACTACGATACGCTGGAAGTTGTCATCACGGATGCTTATTTCCTTTAAAAAGTCCTCTTTCTGAATATTCTCACTGTGTCGCACGCAGTTTTTCCAATCTTCAACGGTAACACGTTTAATAGACTCTTCCAGTAAATTTCTCACATCTTTAATCTTAAAAGTTTTGTTTTGCTCTGCCACCTCCCCTTTCACCTGTGACCAAATCAATTCTATAGGGTTGTACTGACAATGGTACGGGGGAAGTCTCACCACTTCATGCCCCATCCACAGAGCAATGTCATCGATTTCGAATCTTTTATATTCCTTTCTGTGACTTCTGACGATGTTTAATAATTCTCTGACAGTGTGTCTCGGGTTGTGAGGTATCCCTTTGCTGGTTAGCCATTCTGTAATGTCCTTTTTTTTAGTCTTTGAAGAGGGAATTTTTTCTTTCAGTTTTGAGTGATAGCTGGCATTGTCCATAACAACAATACACCCCTCATCTAAGAGTTTCAACATATTATCTACAAACCATTCTGTGAAAACTTCGTGGTTCATTTCCTTGTGGTAGTCACCTGTACATTTGGACTGAAACACCAGCTCAGCTCCTTCAATGAAACCGTGCTTTGCTGATCCGGCGTGAACAATGATTAATCTCGAACCTTTACCGATTGGGACACGCAAACCACCTTCGTTTGACGAATGTTGCCAAATGTATTTCTTTGAATGATTTTGGTTAATCCAGGTTTCATCCAGGTAAACTATAGGCCGCTGTAGTGGATCTTCTCTTAAGTCATGCATTTTTCGGAGGAATTCTAATCTTGCTGTTACTATGTCGTCTCTTTCCATTAAAAAACGCCTACCATCATTACACTTCTTAAATGTGAACCCACATTTTTTTAAAACCTTCCGCATAGAGTCTCGCCCCCTCTAAACCCGATTTTATCTCTTAAAACATTCTTCAGTTTATCACAGGTCACATATTCTCCTCGATCATAGAACTCTAATACAGTACGTCGCACGACATCTCTGTCAAAGCCGTCAAGGCCTGTAATCCACTTTTTATGAGGCTTCTTTTTTGTAGATGATAGAAATTGGTTCCTACAATTATTATGTATAGGATTTTTGTTTCCTTCTGCGGTAATTCTTTGAATACTTCGAAGTGACAATGAGCATGCATCTGCAGTAGCTTGTTGTGTGTTTGAGAATAATTCCAATACTGTAACATTTGGATGGGTCTTAACTATATCCTTTAGGTTTTGATAAACACTAAACACTATTTTTTTAGTCTGTACTGAAATATCTGGAGCTTTAGTTGCCATTTCAAATCACACTGTATTACTTAAGTATACAGAAACCAAACCACATAGTAAACAAAAACATCAACAAATGATTACTCATTTGTTTTGACATTTGCTAACAAAGCGTTATCAGCTGGAGAGGCTATTAGACAAATAAGTGGAGAGGGGGATATATGTAAAATTCCCCTTAAACCGCCTAAATATTTCAGCCAGATTTTAGTGAGTTCCGTCTAGGGACAGATCAAGTTAGCAGGCTTTGGTGTTAGGAGATTCCAGAGTAGAGTGGTTAGCCAGTTCTGCCACCAAAAACGGGTTAGCAAGTTCCAGATTAAGCCAATTACATTGTCTCAATGTTCCTGGCTAAAGAAACAGATGATCTTGGTTATCAAACAAAGAAACGCAAGACATCCTAGTCCATTCTGCATTTATCCTTTATCCATATTTAGGTTGAAATAAACCCATTAGCTTCTCCAGGTTAATTGGTATTGGTAAGAAGAACTGTTGGTTTAAAATGAACAATGAAGGTCTTCTAGTAAATCACTTTTTCATCACTAATACCAGTACCTACTCAATAGAGTAACAATTAAACTTACGTTACTTTTTCTCCAGCAAATTCAAAAATTTCAGTAACAACTAAAGCTTTGTTTTCTTTTTCTATCACAGGAGGTTGGGTAGGAACTGGTTTTGTCTCCTTCACTTCGACTTTTGAATTTGTCGGAGCCTCTGGCTTACGAACTGGTGGACTGCAGTCTTTCATGAAATCTGGAAAACAAACTATTTTAGTGGCTGAAATAGTGCGTTTCATTACCAATACAGAAAGTGGAATTATTTTGTGCGAAATAAAGTTTCATTGTGAGACAAAGCCGAATGTGCAAGGCGAAGCTGACCATGTGAGAGTTATTTTTAGTTATTTTGTTCTGATGTTAAATATTACTATTTTAGCTTCAAGTATCATACTGTATTGAAGAATGTCCTGTCATTTAATGATGTAATGATATTCTGTAAATAAATAAATAAAGAATTTTCTGAAATTGGTAGGTTAGTTTTCATCATTGTCACATGTGCAGTTGTTTAGTTGAGTGCAATGACATTGCCGCAGCATAAGGAGTGAATTATATTGGGTCATGTTAAGCAACAAAAGGACATTAAACTATACTAAGGCAAAACTAAAACTTTAATATGTTTTTTTGCACTATGAGATCATAAATTTAAGGTAATACTTTATACAATTCTCTATTAGAAAAACAAACTAAAACTCTAGATATACAATCAAAACAGTACAAATATAGTTATACTGTTAAAACCAAATTTGAATACTCCTCTTTGGTTCCTGCTAATATTACCATTCCAGAGGGAATCGGCCTTCTTCTTCTCTTCTTCTGCAGAGAGTTTTTTCACTTCTTCGCTTTCTTCAGGTTCGTCTACAGTTTCATCAGCTTTCTTTTTCTTTATTTTTTTCCTAAAGAAAAAACAAAATTGTAATTAATTTTGCAGAGATATCAGTTCTCTAAAACTTCATTAGGTCTAGGTGTAATTTTGACTTTTTACCCTAAATATGTGAACGTGGCAAAAAATAACACCAACAACATGGTCTTAATACATATTTTTTTTTTCATTCTACTAATATTAAAATAACTGGCTGGGTAGCTCAGTGAATAGTGTTTGCCTTACAATCAAAGGTTGACGGTTCAATCCTCGGGAGAGTCGGTAGCTTTTTGATGTTCTGAAACTGGACTCAGCTGTTCCTGATCATTGTGGGCTTAAAAAAATGGTCCTAGCTAGAGAAACAGCTGATCTAGTCCAAAACAAATCAACACAGATTATCTCACACCATTCTACATTCACCCTTCGTTCATATTCAGCTTAATATATGCACCCAGGTGTGCGTTGCTGTCTTGAGGTAAACTAATAATAATAATAGCAATGAAAATATTAAACACAATTAAAAATCAATCACAAAATCTTAAGAAAACGTGTCTCTACCTCCGCTTTGTTTGTCTTTTTTTTCTTTTTCCAGGGATTTTTGCATCATCTTCTTCTTGTTCTAGGGGTGCTTCTTCAACACATCCATCCGAATCTTCTTCTGATACACTTTCCTCGTCTTAAAACATAGAATCGTTAAGTAAGTAGGTAATCAACTAATTTTTCAAGCACCCTATTTATGTAAGTTAAAGTACCTAATAAAACTACTTGTGTATACATGAATGCCAACATTTAAAATTATTTTTTTTTATAAATTGTGTATACCAGTAATAAAATTTTATTTAATAAGATATGTAATAAGTTAATATCGATGCATTGCACGACCTCCGAGTTTCATGACGTCCAATTATATAAGTCAGTGTCACAACGTCCAAAATATAATTCTTGAGCTGTCTCACAACGTCCAATATTCTATACAATATTTGACTGTTGCACGACGGCCAAATCTCATCATGTCCAAAAGTACAGTAACTAAAATACATTGTCTTTCTTTCTATAAGCTCTGGAAGTCATGGGATTGGTCTTCGTGCAATAGTGCATTTTATATTCTTTAACTGCACCATGTCCAATACCACTGCCATTTACTTGTCCCACGACGTCCAGAGCTTCTGCACACTATGAGTACCGTTTTACCGTATGTAGTGCATACTAACCTAACCTAACTTACCTAATCTAACCTTGCTGCGTATGCAAAAGCTCTGGACTTCGAGCAACAGAGATAAGCTATTGGACGTCTTGCAACTGTCAGCAGCTTTGGACGTTATGCTACTGCTGAGTTTTTAAGAGTAAAAAGTGTGCTGTTGCACAAGGACCAATTCCATGACGTCCAAAGCTTGTAGAAAGACTATGTTTCTTGGAGTTACTGTACTTTTGGACATGATGTGATTTGGACGTCGCGCAACAGTCGAATAGTTTATATTGCACGTCATGAGACAGCTCAAAAATTATATTTTGGACGACGTGACACTGGCTTCTATCATTGAACGTAGTGCAACTCTGCCGTAATATATTTTTATAACGCGATTGAAATTTAAACTGTAATAGAATATAAACATTGGTTGCTGAGTAAAATGAATACAAAATTCTTTGTGGACATTTAACTGATAAATACTTAACAAATAAGTTAGCATAAATATTTGTCTGTTAATAGTTTATAGCAATAGATTTTCTAACTAGCTTTAAGCAAGTCTTGTTTGTTAATGCACTGAACTGTACCAAATATCAAAATGGAGCTGTCCGTTGGAATGTAAAATTAAATAAATAACATAAAATAAAAAGTACCTCCTACCTTCAGGTTTAAAATCAACATCACTTTCGTCAGAATCAGAAGGTAGATCCCGTTGTTCGGCCATGTTGTTATTCTACAAGTGAATCTGTTGATCCTTAAACAAAAGAGAATATAATTTAGCATGATAGAGAATTTAAAAATTCAGAGGATAAAAATATCGTCACTTACTAATAAGTTATTTTTTTACGTCAGTTGTTATAAGCAAAAAGAATAGATTTGTAACAGTTTTAGATAGACAGTAACACCTCATTAACTTGACAGCCAGTAAGTCGACAGTCTGTGTAACTCGACAGATAACAGCTGACAGTATGCACGTAAAAAAAGTAAATTTTTCAGTAAATTTAGTTTTAATTTTTGAATATCCACACACTGACCTTAAGTTTGAGTACGGTAAGTTAAAACATTTACGTGTAAAAAATAATCTGTTATGTATTCATTTATGAAAACCCATTAAAAATTTCAATTTTCTGAACTTGACAACCCATAAACTCGACAACCTCTGGGTCCATAAATTGTCCAGTTAGTGAGGTTTTAATTTGTATTTATTTAAAATTATACTACAAGATATCATAGTAGGTATAGATGTCACATAAATAACATAAGTTACCTCGTTAACTATAACCTACACTTTCTCTAACTACCTTCAAAGGACTTAATGCAGTCCAGTGCTACATATTCAGAATCCTAGCACAATATTTTTTAAAGAGTTTGGTGGCCTCTTTTAACCTTGCATTTGCCCGTCCACATAGAATACAAAACTGTACGTGGAACGTATCCAGCAAAGCAAGAGGTGAGCCGGTACAGTACAGAGGTGAGCCGGTTGAACTGTACTGATGAAATGTTTGCGGCAGTGACCAGGATCCGAACCCACGACATCGCTGCCTTGGGCCCAAAGTCTATGACGCTACCAACTGAGCCACCAACTCACCTAGGCTACTTAATTAACCGATTACCTCCTCCTTTGCTTGTGACCATCTTGTACTGGATAAGCTGTGTCAAACACTTTTTACGTACATTAAACAGTAGGCTATTTAGATAATTTTTCAAAAACTTCCCAGATAAAGTTATAAGTGTCCCTCCGAAAAACTCGCTCAACTTATAGTAAGGTTTTTCTCTCAGGAGGCTCTTATGACCCACCGCAAACTTAGAAACTTAAGACATTGTAAATATAAAACTTAGCAAACAAACTACCAACTGTAATACCCCACAAACCCAATCCTAACCTGTAAAACAGCCTAACAAAAATTAGTCATATGAGAAAACATATAATTTAATATCAAGCCCTGCCAACTAGGACCCCGGAATTCTCTGCAAAGCCATTGAGAACTCAATTTTAATTCAAAATTATCCTAGCTTTCACCAAGGTTAGTTACAACTCTGCTGGCAAACTATAGTTAATACCTACATTCATCTGGTCACCATTTCAGAATAAAGTAATAAAAGTATATAGAATTCAAAACTGATTCAATAGTACCTTTATTTAGCCTACATCAAGTTACCTTTTCCATTTGGACTTGAGACCCAAGTCAACATCCCTAGGTCCTTTAACTTACCTACTTAACTTAAGTTTAGTGTTTATGTTCACAAAAATTCTGTAGGCGTAAGTTTTAGGCCTTGATAAAAAAGGGCTTATTTGTCAAACTCCTTGGTATAACCCTTGACCCCTGTCTCAATTGGAAAGACCACATAAGCCAAGTCTGTACTAAACTAAGTAGAGTAGTACATCTTTTAAGACGTCTAAGTGACCAATTGCCACAGAGTACCCTTAGAATGTCCTTCTTTGCATTTTTCCAACCTCACATATCCTATGGGTTAATTTTGTGGGGCCACTCACCCAATGTCGAAAAGATCCTGCGACTGCAAAAGAAGGCAGTAAGGATTCTCTGTCATGCTCACTATAAAGAACACAGTAAGCCCTTGTTTAAGAGACAAAGAATCCTGACAGTTGTAAATATGTATATATTCCAATGCCTTGTTAGTATTAAGAACAGCATGAATGACTTACATGTAACCAGTTCAGTGCACAATCATGACACTAGGTTTAGTTCTAAGCTTGTCATTCCTCGGTCCAGGACTGATAAAAGAGCTAGGTCATACCCTGTTTCAGGAATAAAACTGTTCAATCACCTTCCTGGTCATGTGAGAAATCTGGACAGAAAGAACTTCCAAACCGTAATATTAGACTGGCTAATTGAAAATCCTTTTTTCAAATTTAAAGAGTTTTTTGAAACTGTATTTAGTTGAGTAGCCTAAGTTTTCCTCTAAACAACCTGTTTGCTGTTTTTGCATGGTGCATGCATTTTGATGAACTGCATTTGTTTTGCTTTGTATCTTTTTGTGCATGGTCTTGAACATATTTTTTTTTTCACATGGTTGGTTTTGATCGATTTTTGGTTGGTTTGATTTTTAACTCATGATATTTATTTTATTTTATGCTTGTACATTGACATAGCCTGTAACAATGTTGTTGTTGATTGGCCTAATAAATTCATTGTATTCATTGTATTCATTGTATTCATTGTATTCAAGGGACCAGGTAGGCTTAACTTACTTTAACTTATTGGCACAAAAAGATTATTACCAGCAGTTGGCTAAGGTAAGTAAGTGTTATGGAGTATGTTTTATCTAAGTATGGTGTTATTTTCACTTAGTTCTAAGCCTAGATTTATTTGAAAAGTAATACTAGCTGTATTTATGTTTCAAACTTACAGTATTTTCTTGTCATAAGTTAGAACGCTAGGCACGAGCCTGAGATTTTTTTTCATATTACTTCAGGTTTGACCTTGGGGTTGCTGCATTATCACTTAGATCAAATCCATTGGTAATTTGGTGGGATTTAAACCCGGGACCTCATGAACCGAAGACCCACGCTCTAACCACTAAACTTAGACTAGCTCACTCCCCAGTGCTAACAAAAACTAACTTAAGTTATCGAACTTACAGTGCTAACACACATATTAAAACACGTAATTTAAGGCTTATTAATAAATGTTCAGACAGTCTTGAAAATTTTACACAGAGGACACGTGTCCGGCAGTGACGACACCGGGTTGTGGGGGCCCGGAACGCCATCTATCACCACAACAATACGATGAACAGCCATCGGTGTTAGTGGTGAAATGGATAGAGTTTTCGGCTGATATGCAAGAGGTCCCTGGTTCGAATCCCATCCGTAACTTTTTGTCAAAGATTTTGCTTTGAATGCCAATTCTTCTTAACTGTAGCCTACATCTCTTGTTAAATTTTTTGCATTTATAATTTTATTTTATGAACATAATTTAACCTTCCTTCAATTTTCATTATTAGCAAGTTTGGTTGGTTAGGTTAGGTTATGACGGTAACTGCCGGACGCCCAATCCACGTCCGGTTACCGGACGCGTATCCTCTGCAAAATTTTTTATAGTTGAAGCAAAGATTACATATGCTACGCAAAATTTTGCGTAGCATACTTATGTAATATTTGGTTGAAGTAGACCTATGCCTATTGTGTAAGTAGATGGTTGTTTGCATCAACAGAATGTTTTCAATGTAGAGTAGGCTAGAAAGCTTGGTTTTGTTCTTTCTAACTCAACTCAGTGTTTTTAAATGGTTTAAACTGTATGGTGTATGCTAGCCTACTTATTTTATATTTTAAGTTACTTTGACGATTGCAATGTATGTTTATCTTAAGCAATAAAGATGTTTCATTTAATTTCAGTAATATGATCAATGTATATAGTTATAATCTAAGGCTTACCTTACGATCCAATTGATTTATTGTGGAGACCTAGGTTTCTACGCCGGAGCGTTATCGTCAGTCCTAGGCTAAGCTAAACTTTTTGTGTTTCATCACTTACTTGAGACATTGTCGGTTGAATAGAATTAAAAAAAAATATAAACACTGAATATACATATATATTTACAAAGACATAAGTTAGTGGAGAAGTTAGATGCATGGCCATGATCTTGTCAATCCTAACCTCCCGATTAATTGGATCGTAAGTTAAGCCTTAGATTATAACAATGATTAATAACGATCCAGAGGCTATTTCTCCAAATGAATATAGGTTATGCCTAACTTACTTTGTCCAAACGATACACAACGACTAAGTTAGTGTCATCAGTTTTGTTAAAAAAACTTAGGGCTAAAAAATTGGGGCTGGTGAAAAGTTGCCCACCTTTACCCTAGTATAATTATATAGGCTACATAAAGAATGTTTAGCAAACGCAAAAGAGTACAAGTTGCTAATTTGTTTTTACTTACCATAGGTTAAGGTTTATCTTGCAACCTTAATTTAATTTAATGTTTTGAATGATTCACGATGAGTAAAATGTGATGGTTCTATTGTATATAAAATAATATAATATAATATAAATAAACTGTAGAAATAATAATTAAGTTTCCGAGTCAGGGAAAAACCTAGACCTAGGGTAAGATCGAAGCCGGCTTCACAGGTGACAGAAACACAGTGGGGACACGGTTAACTTAATCGGGCACAAATAGCTAAGCAAATTAATGCCAATAATTGGCTTCTTCATAACATACTCAAAAGGCAAAAATGTATGAGTTGAAGGACAAAATTCCTACCTTTCAGCCTTGGACAACTGAGTTAGTGAGTTCCAGTCTTCCAGTTCCAGACAGAATTAATTAATGTCCCGTCCGTCCCGTCCTACTTTTTTCCTTTGTGTCGTCTGTCTGTGGGTGTTTTGTTTTGTTGGTAGGCCTTATAAAGGATTGTCAATGCTGGTACGGCACACGGGAGATATTTCAGGTGCCATTATGTCGTCACTAACCAATTGCGTCACCGGTCCACGCTGACCACGGCCACCTGTAACTACAGGCCGCGGCCTGTATCTTGATAATCAAGATGTAACTAAAACATTTGTAATTATATGCATATTTCAATGAGGTGGAAACAGATATCTCGTGACGCCTTTTTTAATTTGCAGGAAGGATTATTTATTGATTTAAAATCTAATTTGATTTTATGGCAACAATTAATTAATGTTTACAAAATTACGAGAAATTCGGTAAAACTGAATAAGCCACAGCCATCTGTAACTTCAGGCCGCGGACTGGTAGAATTATTGGCAACGTTGCAAGTAAAAAGTAGTGCCACCTTAAGGTTGTTTAGCGCCATACAAGGGAGTATGTTTTATCTATGGCCATACGTTCCATAAGATATCATGGCAGACAGGTGACACTCATGGTGGAAGGAAAATTTATTTACGCCACACTACATTATTTTGACGAACTTCCCACGCAAGGATTTAGTCCAGAAAACAGCTGTTTGCCACCAGCTTATTCAAATGGGGTTTCATTGCGTACTACTGTTCTGCAATGAGTTTTACCGGACACCAATCAACTGATTATACTGTATTTAGGTGGCAATAAGTGGTTAAACAAAAACATAACCTCTCTTAGAGGTTATGACTTGTGATTTTTAGTCCTTTAGTTGGTGGAAATATATAAGGATTTGTACAGATTTAGTAGTATGGCGTAAACTATCGTACGTAACTCGTCCAAAATGTGTGTACCGGACTCGTATGGTAATCCCATACTCGACTTCGTCTCTCACGGGAACGACCACACTCGTCCGGTAAACACTTATTTCCAGGACTAGTAACGTAATATACTATTTCCTTCCACCATGGGTGACACTAGCCACGGCCACCTTAAGTCATATAAGTAATTTATTTAGCTAAATCCAATCAGCGATAGCCTAGTCAAATAAACTAAAATATTTCTGCACTAATTATGACGTCATAATGGCACCTGTAAAATCTCCCGTGTGCCGTACCGTTGGCAATGCAGTGCAGACTGCAGCTGAGAGCAGGAGACATAAACAACAGAACAGATTACAGAATAGAAAACAAAACAGAATCCTTTAATCCCATCCTTAAATATGCTTGTGCTTGCTGGAGAATGAGAAGTCCTCTATTCCTATTCCGATTCCTCTCCACTACTCCACTCATGTTGCCTCAGAGAAGTAAGCTGTTGGTTGCTTTGTTTTATTTTATGTTTTTACTAGTTTTATTTTCTTGGTTAAACTTGAACATCATTGTTGACTTTGTCATATGCATGTACCATGTACCTTGCAAATTACGGCAGTAAAAAGTTTCTGATTCTTTTCCTTTTCTGTCCTTTCCTTCCTGTTTCTCGATCTTCATTCCTCTGTTCCTCTGGGCGCTTCCCTCTCGTTGCCAACAGGACAAAAGATATTTTACCCACGGTGAACAATTAAATAAGAAGAAACAATCGGAAGTAACGGTGGTAACTCTGCTAGAAAATCGACATGTAAAAATTATGTTATGTTATTGGTACCAACTAGGGGAATCGACCAGCTCATTAGCTAATGGCTTTATTACAAACCCACAATCCTCTATTCCCCTACCTCTAGTACATGGCATCCAACGTCTCTAAAACTTTAATATCATATTCAGGGATTAGGGATACCTCCAGTCCAGTTAGTCATGGTGGAAAAGTAAGATAGAGCACACCTATGTTTTTCCCTTCCACTTCCACCAACCAGTTAGTTGTACCATAGAAAAAACAATAGTCCCTTAAATGTTAAAGGCGGAGGTGCCCCTTAGTACCTTAGTACCCTTAGTAGTTAGTAGTACAATGGTAGTACCCTTAGTAGATTTGTCATCCTTATGGAACAGCTGAAGCCAATTTTATTGTTAGTTCTGTCCGGTGTATTTTGTTCACAATTTGTGTCTTGTTATTTCAGTAATTTAAAATCTCATTCAACCAAATAATACGATCCAATAATAAACAATAACTCATCCTCTAGTTATATAAACAAACCGTAAAGCACAAATCATGAAATTAACTCTAAAAAACAAAATTTCGTCGACACTATATAGCCATACCAGTGTCACCGGACATGAACTATAGACACGAAAACGAGCTTCAACATTTACAACGGAATGGGAAGTCTACTTGTGTTGGTTAGTCGATCGTTGTATATTTTATAGCTCCGTGATTTTATCCGGCAAACCCAGTTTTTGGTTTGCTGTTCCAGTCTACCGGTTTAAAGTATAGGAAATTATTACGGCTAAAATATACAGAGATCTATCCTTCTAATTCAAAATTTTCATTTGGCCTGACTGAAATGAAATAATATTGTGTTTCAAGAGCTTATATGTGGTAGTGGTAGTATAGGTATAAATAAATAATTTATTTGTTTTTGTTTTATTCACAACCATCACATTACATCGATTTTCTTGACAAGTAATCTATTAAACTATACAGTCTGAATATCCATCTATAAGATGTTAACTATCTAGGTAATATTCATCCTATAAGTTATTATAAGATTTATGTGAAACAAACATAACCAACCTTTTGCTAGATATTATGATTTTATGGATAGCCCAATGATAAATAATTGATCATTGGACTATTATTAATGACATCTTTTGGCCAAGAATTTATCTAGCTTGGAATCAAACCATAAGCGACCTTTAATATTTGAAGGCGAGTTCTGTACCCGACAATTTGTTTATTTGAATTCAAATTTAGCTCTCAAATTGTGTTCATTGCAATAATTCCAGAGGTCATTAAGAAACCTGATTGAAATTGAGAATTAAATATATATTTTAATATGTGTGTATTTAAAGACGAATTTCCATATATCCTCACTTTATTACTTTAAAAACCCCACCATATTAATAGACTGATAAATCCAGGCATCTATTTCTCTGGTGTTAATTGCTTCAGAAGTAAAATATAAGATACTGACTGCTGCAAACCCTGTAACAAAAAAAAAAAAACAATTTTAAGAATATTATTATGACTAAAACACGTTTTAGAAATACACACCTCCATTCAAGTAATCGAGTACTTGATTGGTCATTAGATGAAGATAATACATTGATTACAAACAGACCTCCTTCAATTAAAACATTAGGCCTACATTATTATTATAAATTACATTTATCACAGTCACATTTCAATCTATCTTTCAATTTCAAACAATTCATAAAAATAATACTCACTGTCGAATTACAAGACATCAAACCTCAATGCATAAAGCAAAAGAGCAAGCAATGGAAGTGCAATGTGCAAATGTTATAAACTTAAGATTTTCAATAAGCAATATGCAAAAGGTAAACATAGAAAAGTCACAGAGTGATTTCATAACGATTTGAGTCTGTTTTGTAAAGATCTATAGTTTCTCCAACATTCTAAATTTTTACAATTGATTTATAATTCACCAAAATAAAAAGAAATAGTCAACCTTTGTTTGATGTTCATTGTTGGTGATGGTGAAGTTAACGTTGTGATGGAAAATTTCCGCAATAAACCTTTGAACAAGTCAAACTTAACTAAGTAAAACCTCACATGCATAAATGTTTCAAACGAAGCGGTAAAAATCCCTCCCCCGGTGAGATTAACAGGTCGGCTGCAAAACTGTATCATTGTCAAGAGAGACATCTTGAAACTACGAGGACAGTTGTACCACTTGCACTGACAGAGTCCGTAGAACAGCTTTTCACACTGGAAATAAAAACCATAGTTAATTTTACAAAGGAAAGATTCTTTTTTGTGGCAATTGATGTATAAAAATAGGGGTGGTCTAGCAGTATGAACTTTTTTTTATTTACATGTAAAATTTACCGTGTCTGTGAGTCTTTGTCCGCTCAAGCAGTAAATGAATAGCAAATAGTACGAGAGAAACAGAAGTGGGCTGGATTTGGCTATCACCTTGTATAAACGTTCCGTCTGGAAAAAAAATAATTTATTTCACCTTAAGAAAATAAAAAGTTGCAACTAAATGTTGTTAAAACCTGTAAAACACAACTGTTTATACAAGAATAAACGTATTCAATAAAATAATATGAGACTATGAAAGATTTTTAAACGTATTGAGTACCACAGCTAAATTAAAATAGAAATCGGGTCCATTTCTACATACACAACAATTTCCATAAAAATTGTTTTAAAAAATCAGATAAAACCCATTTTGGTGAAATTGAGATAATCCTTTAATTGTGATAGACTTCCACGGATTCCTAAAGCTGGAAGGTCCTGGTCTTTGGGCGACGGCTGGGTTAATGCAGACGAGGATATTAAATAGTTGCCGATATTTCACACACAATGCAGCCGTTCATTTTTAAGGCATCACTCATTCATTCAAGACTCATACTCAGTAAATCGGGGAGCGAGCTGATCCAGTGGTAGAGCCCGGGACTTCGGTCCCTGAGGTCCTGTATAAAAATACCCGCCAGATCACCAATGGAGTTTATCTAAATGATGCCACAACGTCTAGGTCTAGCCTGAAGCAATGTGAAAAACAACCCAGGGCTCTAGAGCCTGCCCAGATCGTAAAGCTTATTGTTTTTCTTCGGATCGAACCAGTGACTTCCTGATAACCACTAAAAATTCCAACAGTAAGTGGTGATGTGATACATAAAATTTTCCTCAATATTATCATTTTGAATATACATACACTCACTCTCT